GTTAGGGGTGGTTGGGGACATTTAGGGGCAGTTAGGGGAGGGTGGGTCACAAGTGTGGATGGTTATGGGTGGGTGCATACAATTGTGGGTAGGTATGAGTGGGCAGTGGTGAACGATTAGGGGTGGTGGTTAGGGGCGGTTGGGGACATTTAAGGGCAGCTAGGGGCGGTTGGGGACAGTTAGGGGTGGTTAGAGGAAGGTGGGTCATAAGTGTGGATGGTTATGGGTGGGTGCATACAATTGTGAGTGGGTAGGGGTGGGTAGGGGTGAAAAAAAAAATTGGTTGGGTACGGTGGGTAACAAAAGGTTTGGGTGTAGGTGGCCATGGGTAGTTTTGAACCAGAAAGTCCATGGGCAGTTATGGACAGTCACAGTCTGAAGGGGTTCAGATAGGGCAGGTACGGGTACACTTCTTTTTTTTTTTAGCAGGTAAGGATGGGTAAAGGTCCAGTAGGCCATCTATACAGTGGGTATGGGTGGTTAGTTTTCAAAGAGGGTATGGGTAGGTAAGGTACAGGTATTCCAAAAAATCCCAGTTGCCACCTCTGATATAGATCCATTGTATGATTTGTATCCCTTTCTTTTTCCTTTTTTTATATATTTATTTTCAAAAGGAGAGGCCCCTTCTATTCTTGGGGGCAGCAGTCCGGTTGCTTATTACCCATTGTATCCCTTTCTTAACTATGTTTACTTTGGCTTTCTTTGGGATACCCCTTTTATTTGTTATTGCAGCTCCCCTTTTTACTGTGCCCCCTCTCACATACAAGGGTGGCCACATTGATTGTGGTTTAGCGTCAGCTGCCCACATTGTGCCTTTGAATGACACACTGGCACGTTCTGAAAGGAGGCAGAGTAAAGCGGGAGGTATATTCCTGTTCATTTTTCTTCAGATGTTCAGCTTATACTTTGTCTGTTCTCTTAATGATGCTCATTCGCCTCCATTTACTAGTACTACTTAGGGGGGAGGGAGGAAGGAAAGGGGTAGAAGATAAGAGCTCTATAAGAAGCGAGGGGCGGGGAAGGGAGATCGAATAGAGGAGGTGAAGAACAGAACAGAGGAATGACAAACTTCACAGAGTTCTCACTGAATACTCACCACTGGATCAGACTACTCTAGGATGGCACAAGATGCCAGTCAGTGTTTGGGTTGCGGGAGATTTTGAGTTGAGTAGCAGCCATTGCCTACGGTAAGTGGCCACCCCTACCGACCAGACAGGAGCAGTTCAGGTGTGGGATGAAGAAGCACCGCATCCAATTCTCGCAGTTCAGTTGCTGCATTGAAAGTGGCACGGCGTAGACAGATGTCACACAGGCTACGTGGCTCCTACATGCTACGAACACAGGCGCGTGCCGATCGCAATTGTATAGGCACATGAGTGCAATGCTGACTGGCATCAAACGTATGAAAACAAAAACATGCATGGGCGCTATGCCTTCATAATCCTCACGACACAAAGCATGTGAATCACATGCTAGCCGAATGTCAGGTGGGCCATCACAGAGCGGCATTGAGCGGGTTTGTTGGGTTTCCGCAGTCATTGCTCCCTCTCTATGGGCAGGCGATGACGGGGGCTGATCCAAGGTAAGGGTGTTTAGCTGTTACAAGATTTGGTCTGCAACAGCTCTCCCTAACCTGTCAGTACAGCGCACTGTAGTTGGTTGATGTGATAAGCTATTCTCCTCCTCAGGCTGCTGTGTCTGTTGTTCATCTGGCAAGGATGAAGGAGATCCCAACCGCAGTTGCAGCATTCTGCAGGTGTATGCCCAGCGCTGCATGTGGGACATGCTAGGAGAGGATGTGGCGGGTGATGGCATCACGGATAGTCCATGCAGTAGAGACACATACTTTCAACAACAGATTCCCGAAAACATCGACGGCACATGGCATGTTGCTGACATGCGGCCAGGAAAGTAGGCTGACGTTCTCAGTTATTTAAGCATGGCATATCGAGGCCACAACGGCATATCGGGGAGTCAAAGATTTGCCTGGTGTAAAGTACCGTAGTATTCGGAGTGAAAGACTTGCAAGGGATTTCTAATCGACGTCGAGGCAGACCAAAATATGGTACCAAGAACCCAAAATTGAAATATGTAGTCCTTTCTCCGCTTTCCTTCGGCTTTTATTGGGGTTTTCTCTCTTATTTCTTCGTGCAGCTACCCTTTTACTGTGCTTCTCACGTACAAGGCTCGCCACGTTGATTGTGGCTGAGCGCGAGCTGCCCACGTCCTCGTGTGCCATATCGGACCACTTGCACGCTATGAAAGGAGGCAGGGTAAAGGGGGAGGCATACTCCTAGTCATTTTTCTGCACACCTTCAGCTTTTATTTTGTTTGCTCTCTTAATGTTGTCATTCATATGCCTTTAGTAGTGCCACACAAGGGGAGCGAGGTGAGAAAGGTGGAGGGGGAGGAGTTCTACATGAGGGGAGGGAGAAGGAAGGAGGGGAAGAGGAGGAAAGTGGATGGACAAGGAATAGAACAGAGAAAAGACAAACTTGACAGGGTTGTCAGTACTCACTCCCAGAGCACACTACTATGGAATGGCAAAAGAGGCCAGTCGCCGTTTGGGTTGCAGGGAAATTTTAGTTCAGGAGCAACCCCTGCGGGCTGGATAGGACCGGCTCAGATGTGGACTGTGGAAAGACACAGCATCCAATTCTACCAGTTGGTGCATCGAATGGCACGGCGTAGACAGATGTCACAGGCCACAAGGCTCCTACATGCTAGGAACCCAGAGGCAACGCCGACCGCAATTGTAGAGACATTGCCGTTCCAGCCCCTGTCTACAAACAAGACCTGTCATGTCAGGTTGCCGTACACGAGTACAATGCCGATAGTGCTCACACATAAGAAAAGAAAGACTTGCATTGCTCCTACACCATAAGCCTCACGACAGAAAGTGTGCCAATCACATGCTAGCCGAGTCTCAGGTGGGCCATCGCAGTGCGGCGTTGAGCAAGGTTCTTGGGTTTGGGCAGACGATATTCCCTCTCTATGGACAGGCAGTGAATGGGCCTGATAGAAAGTAAGGGTGTTTATCTGTTGCAAAATCTGGTCTGCAACAGCTCGCCATGGAAGAGATAACCTTTCAGTATGGCGCACTGTAGATGGTTCATGTCCGAGTGTATTCTAGACCGCAAGCTGCTGAGTCTGTTGCTCATCTGACAAGGATGGAGGAGATACGATCACACAGGTGTAGCTGGAGGATGCCCAACGTCGCATGTGGGACATGAATGAAGAGGATGTGGCGGGTGATGGACAGTAGACACACACAGACACACACAAACTTTCGATGACAGCTTCCTCGAAAAACATTGACGACACATGGCATGTTGCTGGCATGCCAGCAGGAAAGCAGGCTGATGTTTGCAGTTATGTAAGCATGGCATGCCAAGGCCACCGACATTTCGGCCAAGCAATAAGGGGGGGTGGGGGGTATGAATGCAAGACAATGAATGGATCACAGTTTTCGCGGCAGAGGTTGGCAGTGACCCATCCCTTCATAGTGTTCGGAGCAG